GAGCAAAAATAAATCAGGCAAATTTTTTGTGACTCTAAATATATTTAAATATGAAGAATGCCAATATATATTTTTAAGTTGTATATTTTAAATGTATTCCTTAACCAGTCAAAGCTTCTGATGCAAAAATATGAAGAAAACATAATGTAACTACAATATTTTGAAGGCTTATAGAATCAGGAAAAAGTCTCTTAATTTCTGGTGTCCTACAGAATTGTGCATGACCAAGCACAATTCTATTACATGATAAATGTCTTCTTTCTTTCTCCTCAGTTATCTCTTTGACTCAGTATATAACCCTGTGTAGAGCTAATGCCCAAAGTTTGAATTGGGGACCCTTCAGAAATGACAGCCCATCTCAGCCAAAAGGTACAAAATTAGCCCTAAATCCTAGAGGGGTAATTTCTGAGTTACAAAAGTTTTCAAGCTTGTGACATCCAGCTGGTACCCATCCACATCCCATTAAGAGTGTGTGAGAGCACATCTCGGTGTGTGTTAACAGATGTACTGTCATCTTTTGTATCTTTGTTAAATGTAGTTAATGACAACAAAAGCACCTGTCATCTTAATTAACATTTCACTGATAACCAAGGCAGGTGATCATTATGCTATCTATATTTGTTGTTTATATACTTAGTTTTTTTTTCCCCCTGAAATATCTTGGTCTTTTGTTCTCTTTTTCTCTCTCATTCTTTGTTGTTAATCTCCTTACTTTCATTTTTAAATTTCTTTCTAAAAAAAAAAAAAAAAAAGCTTTCTTTCTATATTAAGGGTATAAAGAGGGCCTATGCCTACATAGTCTCAAATATTTTTTCCCATTTTATCACAGCCTTTTAATGCTATAATTTGTTTGCCATGTGGACATTAACTATTTTTGCTTTCTCTAATTCATCTTTCTTTTCTTTACGGCTTTGGCCTTTGATGCCATGGATCTAAGAGTAAGTAGATCTTTAATTGACTTCCACTCTTCCTCCTTGATTGTTATTAGCCTAATTCATTAGTGTCAACCTACAGGGATTGAACGTTGCTTGGTCTCTCCCAACCTCTTTACTCCTTCTCATCTCCAGGAGGTCTCCCTATTTCAATAGGGATAAAGAAGATGCGCAAAAAGCACTTCCTCTGGGAATGAGGTTCCCTCTGATTACAGCTCTGGGGAGTGAAAGCCTTGGCAGCTTTCTGTCAGTCTGTGGTTGATGAAGTCACATGAAAAGGCAGCAATATGAAAAGTCAATAGTTCAACAAATAATATAATTTCTTAACTTTCTAAAAAATTTAAAAATGAAAACCTTAACATTTTGAATTAGTGAATTAAAATAAAAATGAAATCTAAAAACCATCAGTGCAGAAGTAAATGTGAATGGTGGTATTGGCCACGTGGTGTAGGTGGGTAAGCCCCAGGGGACACCTGCCCCTCTCCATGGTCTCCGCACTAGACGTTTCCCCTCAGGGCAGGCTAGAAAGAGAATAAGCGGGACTGGTCCCCCCCCCCCCCCACCATACTCACAAGTTGAGAAAACCATGGCATCTTTAAGCTTGTTCTACCATTCTTTCCCCCATGACTCTTCCATGCCTCCCACTCTCATCAAAATGTCCACACTTTCTCTCTTGTTTTTGGCTCATGACTTTGCTTCATACATTAAGTGAGGGGGGAAAGCTATCAGATATGATCTCCTTCATCTCTCCACCACCATATCAATGAACAGTCTTTAAAGACATCTTTTACTTTAAACCATCTGTTAAACTTGGGGGTGTACCTCACAGTCTCTGGATTTCACCCCATCTCAACCTCAAAGATTTGAACCTCTCAGTTATTCTGTCTTGTGCATTTTCCAGCTGCTTGCTTTCTCTAAATCATTCCCTTCAGCACACAAACATTCCCTTTTATCTCTACCTGCAGGTAACACTCTCCTGTGTCCCCCAAACCCCTTCAGCAATCATGCTCTTCTTATGTTTACATGTGCAGCCAGATATTTTTTTAAATAGTCATCTATATGTGCCATCCCTAGTTTCTTACCTCTCATTTACACCTTATACCATTCTAATGTGATTTCTACACCTACCATTTCCCCCAAACTTCTTTTGTCAGTGATCAGTCTGTCACCTAATCTAATGAACAACCAATTAAGTCTCTCAAATAGCCATTGATACAGCTGACCACCTCCTCCTTCTTGAATCTGCCTCTTTCATAGTCTCTACAAGACGAAAAATGCTCCTGGGTTTCCTCCAACTTCACTTACCAGTCCACTTCACTCCCATTTATTGGCCTCTCTCCATCCTGGTAGTATCTAAATGTAAGAATTTATCACGGCTTGGTCCTGGATTCTCTTTTGTCTTTCTACACTCTTTATCCAAGTGATTTCATTGGCTTCAAATACAATCTATAGGCCAACAATTTCTGAACTTACAGCTGTAGTCCAGAGCTCTCTTCTGAAATCCATTTGTTTATGTCAAGTACAGCCTTGATTCATTCACTTTGAGGTCTAAAAGAAATCTGAAACTTCTCATGTTTAAAACTGATCTGGGGAAACTCAATCTGATTTTGAGACTTAATATATAACTACAGAAATCAAGTGAGTGAAACATTAGCAAAAAGTATATAGATCAGTGGATTTATACATTTCTCGCCTCTTTGACAAAGATACCAAGGCAATTCAGAGGTGATTGACAAAGATACCAAGGCAATTCAGAGGTGAAAAAACAATCTTTTCAGTAAAAGATGTTGAAGTAGTTGGATATATAAGATAATTTATCAATATATATATAAAAGATCAACCTCAACCTGTACTTTACACCATATACAAAGATTAACTCAAAGTAAGCCAAACACCTAAAAGTAAGACTTAAAATTATAAAATCTTTAGAAGGAAACATAGAAGAAAATCTTTGTTACTGAGATTAGTCAAAGATTTCTTAGGGAGGACACTCAAAGCGTAAATCATAAGAGATAAAAAGTGATAAATTGAATTTATTCAAATTAAATTCTTTTGCTCTTCAAAGACAAAAGAATGAAAAGTCAAAGAATGAATAAAAATATTTGCAAACCTCATATCTGATAAAGGGCTAATGTCCAGAATATATAAAGAACTCTCACAAATCAATAATAAGAAAACCAACAACCCAATTTTATAAAGGGGAGAGGGAGCAAAAGATATGAACAGGGTATTTCACCAAAGTGAATACACAGCTGGCAAATAAATACTGAAAACATACTCAACATCCTTAGTCATTAAGGGAATTTTAATTAAAATAATAATGAGACACTTTATATACTTATTCAATTTGCTAAAATAAATTTTTCTTTTAATCTGACATTACCAAATTCTGGCAAGGATGGAGAGCACTGAACTCATGCATTGCTGGTCAGAATGCAAAACGTACAACTACTTTGAAAAATAGTCTAGCAGTTTTCTTGTAAATATATCATACAGTCCGTCATCCCACTCCTCAGTGTTTACCCACGAGAAATGAGAACATTCCCACACAAGAATCTGTATGCAAATGTTTATATCAGTTTTTCCCCCAAATTGCCCAAAACTAGAAACAATCCAAATGTCCCTCTACTGGGGACCAGATTAATTGTGTTGCATCTATACACAGAATACTACTCAGCAATAAAAGACTCAACATACTGGCGAATGCACCCACATGGATGAATCTCAAAGGCATTACGCTATGCAGGAAAAAAACAAACCTTAAAGGCTACATATTATATAATTTAATTTATATGACATTCTGAAAAAGACAAAATTATAGGATCAGAAACTAGATCACGTGGCTGCTGGGGGTGGGGGTAAACCAAGGTGATTAACTACAAAGGGCATCAGGGAACTTTTTGAAATGACTCTGGTCATGGTTTCATGACTATGTGTTTCTCAAAAATACTGAATTTTACTGTGTGTAAATTATAGCTCTATAAACCTGGTTTTTAAAAAACTAATTTAATGATCTTTCCCACATATATGCTTCTTCCTCAACTCTTTACATCTTAAAAAAGTGGTATCATGAGGCACCTGGGTGGCTCAATCAGTGAAGCATCCGACTTTGGCTCAGGTCATGATCTCTCAGTTGGTGAGTTCAAGCCCTGCATTGAGCTCTCTGCTGTCAGTGCAAAGCCCACTTTGGATCCTCTGCCTCACTCTTTCTCAACCCATCCCCTTTGCATTTACTATTCCTTATGCCTGGACGCTTCTTCCTCTTGGCTCCTTTTTTTTGTCTTCCTCTTGGCTCCTTTTTTAATGGCTAGTTTCCTCTCATTCATAAAATTTCAGCTTACGTGTCATATCTTTAGAGAAGTCTTTATACGTTTTATAATAGTTCACTCCTGACATTCTCTTCCATAATACCTTATTTTGCTCTTTTCCCAACTTATTATTACATATTTACAAATTTATTTTGCTAGTATTTATCTCCCCTACTAGAATATAGTTTCTTCTTTTTTTAAACTTTATTCATTTCTTTTGAGAGAGAAAGAGATAGAGGGCGAACAGGGGAGGGGCAGAGATAGAGGGAGACAGAGAATCCCAAGCAGGCTTTGCACTGTCAGCGCCGAGACCAATGCAGGGTTCGAACTCAGGAACCATGAGATCATGACCTGAGCCGAAACCAGGAGTTGGACACTTAATCAACTGAGCCGTCCAGGTGCCCCTAGAATATAGCTTCTTGAAGGCAGAAACTATTTTTTTTCAGTTACTTAGCACATTAACTGACATGTCATAAGAACTAAATCAACATTTGTTAAATAAAGGTGTAAACTAATAAGCCTCCTACAATGAAAAAATAATGATTTCTATGTGATCATCACTAAATAACCTGGACCAACACATACAGTTATATATATATATATATATATATATGTGTGTGTGTGTGTGTTTTCAGGGCCCTCTAAATGAGGCTTATGAATGGGATGTCTACTTCGTTACCTAAAGTAGGTAAAGATCACCAGGTTCTAATACCATGGGTGTGCAAGTAGATGACGGTGTCAGCCACCCAGAAAGGCTTACCTCTCCAAACCAATTGCTTGGCACAGAGAATGGAGCTAGGAGTTGTACAGAAGTGTAAAGCTGTGTGTCCACTTAAGGAGTAGCAATTCAGCTTTGCTCCGTGGTCACAGAGGATTTTAACACAATCCAAGTTGGCCATTTCACAAGCCACATGAAGAGGGGTTTTCCCATTGGGTCTACAGTTGATGGTAGCATTGTGGTCCAGTAACACCAGAAGACACTCCACGTGACCAAACAAGACAGAGAGATGCAGGCCTGTCGCCCAGGAAGACTTTAATTTGTAACTAGGCAGCCAATAACCTGAAAAAGAAAAGGAAGAAAGCTTCATTTCTTGGCCTAGGATTTTTCTCTGTTTTGTGAGGAGGTTTACAAAGTCTTTTACTTTGGTCACATTTGTAAAATTGGGGGAAGTGATTCAGATGCTATAAACTAGTAACTGATGGGTCTGCAATGTTAGTTTAGAAGCATACTTGGATGTACTTGAGTGGGATAGGCACTCATGAGTCTCTCTGTTTCTACTATTCTGCATTATCTTGTTTCTTTATTTACTTTATCTTCCTGGCCCTTCAAGGCATTTGAGTTTGAGACCTCATTTACATAATTGCATTCTTTTTTACATGGTGAGTTACACAAGACTTTTATTGTTTTAAGTCCCAAACATTGTCTTGAGTGATTCCAAATATCTTAGTTACAAGCTTAAACTTTTCAAGCTTACTTTACCAGTTGTTGTCAGTCTAAAGTATGAGTGTAGTTGATGTCTTTAAAAAATTTGTCATGCCAAGATTTTATTCGCCTGCCTGTTGGTTTATACAATAGTTCTTTCCCAAGAAGAATTTAAGGCAACTCATAAATTCTACACAAGATTTTTAAATGATCTAGAAAACAAGGGCAAAGGGAAAAAATAAGGTAGGAAAATAAAAAGTGATCAATGGGTAAGATAGGTACACAAAATATAAACTGTGTCCTATACCCTAGAACCACATTGCAAATTTGCCTTTGAACTTCCTAGCAGCCAAAATAAATAGGAAAACATGATGTATTGCACAATTAACTATGCCCACAAGCTATACGCAAATTAATTGCTCAGGAGAAGCATAGCTGTTCCTAGAACTGAGATCTTAGATAAGTTTTTCCCATTAGTTGTTGGAAATGCCCTCTCTCTCCCCCTCTTTCTCTCCCTCTCCCTCCCTCTCTTTGCCTCTCTCTCACATGTCTCACAATCTATAACAAATGTAACTGTATAAAACTTCTTTCAGTGTCAATACTAGAGCCATGGCATTAAGCTCACTATGAGTAGGTAATGGAAAATAGCTTCAGAAAGATAAAATATTGATGGCCGGATAAAGATGTAGAGATAACTCAACAGCTTAGAAGAGACTCCAGGGCTGAAACAACAAAACATATTTTAACATGGATAAAACAGAAGTTTCCTTTTAAGTTATAAAATTCCACCATACAAGTACAAGGTAAGTGGAATATGGCTTCATGGTTTCATGGAATATGGTTTCTCAAATCTATTTGAGAAAAGACCTAGGGATTTGAGTTGACAGTATTCTCAAAAGGAGCCAACAGTGGGATGGAGCTGGCAAAAAGCTAATACGATCGTAAGCTACATTAATAAAAGTGAAGTGCCCAAAACAAGAGCACTTGTTGTAAAAGTTGTATTCTTTACTGGTTAGATGAGGTCAGAATAAATTCAGAATATTGTGACTACTTTTGGGCACCAACGATGAGCATCTGGAGGGCACTCAGAGGATGATGAACTTGTTACCAGTGAGCCGGGTGGTCAGGAAACAAAATCCCCTCATTTAAGTGAGAAACATTACACACCTGCTACTCCTGGGTATTTATCCTACGTATAGTAGCTCGTGTGTGAAATGCCCTATAGGAGCCACTGTACTGTTCAACTTCCAAGGATACCATCTATACTGAACTCTTTGTGAAAAGTATAAAGTTCTCAGGAGTTATAACCTGGCCTGTGGACAAGAACATACACCTCACTATAGCATAGTTCTTAATGGTTGACAACTGGAAACAATCTCAATCCTCATCAATAGGAGATTGTTTAAAAAATTATGGGGTGTCCATACAATTGAATACTAGACAGCTATTATAAACAAGAGAGCAGTTTTGTGGATACTGATATGGAAAAATCTCAAGATACATCATTGAGCAAGAGAAGCAGGGCCTGACCAGTGTGCATAATATGCTATCATATGTGAAAATATTTATCAACCCCTAGAACAAGAAATTGATTATGGTGGTGGCCTCTAAGAAGTGGGGGCTAGGAGACAAGATCATAGATTTACGTGTCTTTGGATGCCCCGTTTGAGCTTTTAAATTCAGCACGTCGTGCACACGTAACTATTTGTAAAAATAAGTAAAATTAAAATAAACTATTGCCCCCTTGTTTGTAGGGGAAAAGATAATTTAGTTTAAAAGGCCATCTATAGGGATGTACACAACACTAATTAATTCTGAAGTAATGAATGAACCCAACCTGAAGTTTGTTTTTCGGTTGCCTACTCTCCAACCTAGACACACACACACACACACACACACACACACACACACACACACAGATCCCTTTTTCATTCCATTCAGAATTCTGACCACTTTGCTCTCCATCCCTCTCAACTCTCCCTTTATTCAAGTCTGCTCTTGAAAAAGAAATCCAAAGTTAATTCACACTAAAGTCTAATGAACTGAGAATTTTTTAAAGTGTGACCCTCTTAGGATTATCTGAATTTATGTAGGAATCTGTATTCAACTTATCAAACTGAGTGCTAAGATACTCATTTGAGATTCCAGATGCTGACAATGGAAGGTATTTGTTGATATGGACTTTTCTCTGCCAGAGACAATTAGTATCACAGGTACTCTGGGCTATAGAATGGTCATTCCTGCACTTGTAATGTGTGTGTGTGTGTGTGTGTGTGTGTGTGTGTGTGTGTGAACAGGCACTCACACTACATGTGTATGTACCCATTTATACATTTCTTTTTATTTTATTTTATTTTTTAATACATTTCTATGTAGCTATGCACATTGACTCTGAGTTCTGAGCAGAGTTTTCAGGCTGTACGGTACGCAACCTGCTTTTGATAATGAACGAACCGCACTGACACCAATACCTAATCAGTCATTGCAGCGCTCAAATCTCCTCAACAGGCAATTCGCAAAGCGAGTCTCTTCTAACTGTCTCGGAAAGAAGCTGGTTCCGGATCTGGAAACCAGAGTATATTTTGCCTGCTGATTAGCAGCAAAGATTTGGCAGCTCTGCGCACCAACTGATTGGAAACGCGTGCCGGCTTCCGCAATGGGAAGAAAAATGATCTCGGAAAGGAAGCAGTCGAGAGCTGATTAAGAAAACACCATTTTGATGTAAAATCAGAGAACACACAGAATGTTAGCGCTGGAGGGAAGATTATCCAGTCCAAGCCTTTCATTTTCCAGAGGAGAAAACTGCCGCTTTTTCAGCCTGCTAGAGCCGTAAGTCGCCCGCCTCAGTCCAGGCTAATGGACTCAGGGTGTCTGCGGTGCAGGGTCTCCATCTGTCTGTCTTTGTGGAAGCAGAGCAGGTTTCGCGCCAAGCCCGCTTCACAAACCGCGAGGAAGGAAGGAAGGAAGGAAGGAAGGAAGGAAGGACCTGAGGCATCTGAGAGGCGCCACAGCTCCCATACGGAAGTGCAGGGCTTGTTGGTGTTTTACTTCTACATTCCCAGTAGCACCTGGAGAGTCTCCCTGCCCACTTGTTACATGAATCTGTCCTCCTTAGTCTCTCAGCCCCTTTCATCTGCATGTCCTTTGCTCATAGTCAGTCACCAGTAAATCAGCGCCAGGGACAGCCAGGTTTGGGGACTCAGCCCACCCCGTGGGTGAACTTGTGGCTCTAATCCTCTCCCGGATGGAAATGTTTTCAGGCGGATGACAGCGAGGCACCATCACTGGTGCCTGTAGAGGCCGAATAGAAAAACAGAAAGGGGGCAGATTATGTATCTTGAAGTGTATCTTGAAGCCATGTGGCAGAGCTTTTTGCTTGTGGTATGTGTGCTGGGGGAGAGGGGTAGATTCTGGATAATTCAAACCCCGGTTCAGCAGGAAAGAAACAGTCCGTAGCAAGGAGGCCACCACATAACACTCACACCTTAAAATGAGGCTGCAGCCGTGGGTCGTTTTATCAAGGAGCAAGAGTGTCCTTTCTACGACACCTACCCTCTCTGAGGGCCAAACCTGAGGCAAAGCCATCTTCAAAAACCACGGTGATGCAGCACCTATTACCATTCTTGTGTTCATACTGAAATGCCAAGACATCAGAATTGGTCCCCTAAAATATAACCAGCGGCCGTAGCAGCATAACAGAAATACAATTTGCTAATCGCACATATTCGTTCTTTACATTTATCCTTCTTTCCAGGGCAGGATTGTCCCAGAGTTCGGAACCTGGCACGTGGTTGATTCTTAGCATTTGTCTTTCTTATAATTTTTTTTAAATGTTTTATTTATTTCTAGGAGAGAGAGAGAGAGACAGCGTGAGCAGGGGAGGGTCAGAGAGAGAGGGAACCACAGACTGAAACAGGCTCCAGGCTCTGAGCTGGCGGTCAGCACAGAGCCCGACGCGGGGCTCGAACCCACGAACCGCGAGATCATGACCTGAGCGAAAGTCGGACGCTTAACCGACTAAGCCACCCAGGCGCCCCAGCACTTGTCTTTCAAAGAGCCCCCCTCTGCTCACCTCTGCAGATGCCAGGCTGCCGTCTGTGTGTTCAGACGGGCACAAAGTCCAGGAATGGAACGGAACCTGGCACCGAGCCCCCCAAGTAGGAGGGTGAGGAAGCTGCTGCCCCCGACTAACCTAAGCCACTCATGCCCGGCTCCTCCCACAGGTCTGCAGCCTGTGTAGCAATGACTCTAAGAGCTCTCCTTGAGCCAACTCTTTAACCTAGAAGAGGAGAGGCTGTGCAAAACCCCCGCAGGGACTCTCAAATACAGGCCCTGCCCGTGTGGATTTATAGTATCTACAGTTACTTTTCACCTTCCCCAGACCATGACACATAATCTGTTTATATAATTTCCCCTTCATAACATCATAGATTATCAGCACGCAGGGGATTTAGAGAAGGTCTTGACAAAGCCTTCACTTCACAAATAAGAATAAGATTAAGTAGCATAAAGGGCTCATGCCTGTATAACAGGTACTGACAGATCCACTCAAACTCTGGGTTCCCCCAAATCTTTAAACAGCCACGGGTGATCTGACGGCTACACGTATTTCACAGCACTTGTAGGCAAAAGTCCTAAAAGGATTTTAGAAGATCCACGCCTACAAAAATATGCAGAGTAATCTTGTGTGTGTGTGTGTGTGTGTGTGTGTGTGTGTGTGTTTAATTTAAATGTGAAACCAAAGAGATATGCTTGAGTAACTGAGTGGAAAGCATCCAGCTCAGGAAATATGGTAAGGAGAAAAGTGTTTTAGGGCCATCTTTTGGAAGAAGGAATTGATTCTGCGACATGTTGGGGGGGGGGGGATGTATACATCTCTGGTAAACTTTCAGCTAAACCTGGGCTCTGCGACAGTTATCAGCTATAATGTTATCTGAGTTCAAAGAACCTAACACAGGAGAAGCCTCTGTTATTACAGCCAAAGGTTGGGCCCGCCGCTCGTGGCTGGATTAGCAGACAGTTGCTCTGCCCATGTGCACGTATTTACACAATCCTGAAGGATTATAGACTGATGCACAATTCTTGACAATTCTTGACTTTTTTTGTTAATAGCTAATATTTTCAGGATAAATCTCAGAACTCCCCCAGGAGAAAAAAAAAAGAATCACCTTGAAATGCAAAATTTAAAAGAAACAAGTTTGAACATCCAGGGAAGGATAAGAACCCTAAGATCATAATAGGAAAGTAGGAGAGCAAATTTATGGCAAAGAAGAAAATGAGGTGATAAAGAGATTATTCATTAAGGGAGTGGAAATAAGAGCTTTCAAGATATCTGGGAGGAAGTTGTGACTTAGTAAAGTAGATAGAGTATCTGCCAGGAAGTTTTCCCGTGAAATCATTCATTGGTTATTTTAATTAAAAATATGACTACCAACCAAAGTAGCTGCTGCTGTGGGCCATAAACAAAGTGCTTAGAGTGCATTACACTGATTAATAAAAGGACTCTGATTAACCTTGCTGACTAGGGAATTTCATACCCAAGAGATAAGTATGATATTCTGCCTGTATCATTAACGCGCCAAGGCTCATACATCAGAGAGAGAATCGAAATATGTAGTTGGAAAAACCTTGTGAAACAGCTTTATGGATGTTGGCATTTCCAGTGAGGAGAAAACTAGTGAGAACCTAGGACCTAGCTCCGGGTTTTCTTACAGACCCTGCGTTCACTCTGGATCTTGCACGCTGGGCTCGCAGGAAACTTCCCATCATGGAAAACCCTTGACCTCACAACTACTTCTTGCATGGGGCACTTCAAAAGTTGGGCATGTATTTAACTTTTCTTCATGGCATTCCCATTTGAAAGCGGTTGTCTGGTAGAAGGAATTTCGCTTGCTTGTCTTTGCTTTAAAGACACATGCCTCTGCTCTGCTCCTGGAGTTATCCCAAATGCCAACCAGAATGTTTTTAATATTTGCTTTACAAAGTGTGAGACAGGTCTTTTTTTTTTTCACTTAATAAAGACATGATTTTTATCTGAAGATTTGATTATGAAGTTTAACATAACTTTAAAAAAATAGAGCAAGATCTCTCTAACTTTAAGAATCATTTTTAGGTACTGGGTCTGGATGGGCCCCACAAATTGAACTGACCTCTGGGATTTTGTTCTCTGTCACGTGAGATGAGGAAGCAGAAGTGAACTTCCGGATGCTTTGTTCTGCCTCCCTCATGAAACCCACATTTACATTTGTTTCCATTAGTGTGTGAGTTAGATTGTGGATTTGGTGGATCCACGATTAGAACCCAAGTTGACTTCCTCACCAACAGATTTCTAAGTTGTCTTCCCAGAAATTATTAATTGACTTGTCTACTCACTTAGACATATCATATTTAGGGGGCAAAGTGTGGTCACTTTCTGAAATTCTATGAAAAATGCTGTATGTCCTAAAATAAGTAAAAATGGCTGGAGATATTTTTATATCTCCAGTATATTATTATATTATTAATATATATTAATATTAATCATACAAGCAAATTTAAAGGTAGCATGATATCTTTCCTAGGTTTGAAACATTGTCTTGCTTAATAAGCCACAGAATAACTAAAACCTGAAGATTCCCACCTTTAAAAGTAAGCAGGTAGTGTTTCTGTTTCCACATCTGGATGCTGGCTATCTAAGTTTGTTTATTTTGTGAAAAATAATCACACTGTACACTTATGATCTATACACATTCCTATGTAGAGCCTTTCAAAAGCACTTGAAAAAAATAAAAAACTAGTGCAGAGCAATCCAATAGCATTCAATGTCCAAAAAGTCTGCTAGGATTTAATAAAGTCTCACAAAGTTTAATCCAGCCACATACCCTTCAAGGTCATGCAGTAAAGGGTCTCATTCCTCAGCATTATTCAGAAAGGAACTAACTCTAACTAACTAAGTAACTAATTAACCAGTGCAGCATGCTCAGCTCTACAATGTTCCCCAGGAATTCCTTTGTGATGTAAGAAATTGATATAGCCACTCAGGTCAACTTTGCTTGGCTAGCAACTAGGATTCTATTTATCACTTCCATTCCTGACTGAAATATTAAAAGATTTGATAATTAGGCTGGAAGACATGTGAAAATGTGAAAAAAAATTAAAAGAAGCTTTGAAGAAAGATGAGGCTTTAATCTGGGTTTAAGATGGAAGAGATAGATTCCTATACCCATACATGTACTTCTTTCTATCCATACAAATGTGTGCGCATGCCCACATCACAGTTCCCGTATAAACCCTGAGGATAAGACCACACATCCTCTTGTTTCTGTGCATACATTCACCTGGCATGCCTAAGAATCAAACTCTACTTTTTTCCTTTCCCAGAGAGTGTACTTTGCTGTTTCCCTAATAGAAAGTCACATCCTGTGGTCCTAACACGATGAAAACATCTGTTAGCATGAGTGAATACTTAGCTCTATGAGGACCATAGGAGTTGGGCATATTGACAGAAAGGATTAAAAATGCGTCTTCTTCTGATTCAAGGGTGATGACACAGTTGGAAGCGGGAGAAGCAACACCCTTTCCTCCCTGGAGCCTGCCCTAAAACTTCCTTTCTCACAACTTCAGAACCTTGGGCAATCCATGAAGTTTGGCATATTTAGGAGATGCGAAAAGGCAGTCTTCACAGCTCAGTGTCACATAAATTGAGCCGACTTGGACCTCAGTTATTTTACATTAGCACAAATATAAGCTTAAAAAATTCCTTAAAAATGAATTTAGCATTCAAACAGTCTTCCACTGAACAAATCCGTAAGGTGAAAGTAATCTGATTATATGGGATACACTCCTTCTTTTTAACAGAGCTCAATCAACCACTTTAAAAAAAAACAAAAACAAAAAACAGACCTCTTCATTATCTTCCAGTTAAAATAGCAATATCAATTTATGATAAAGCCCTCCAGTAAAAGTCACACACACAGTAACTGGTCTCCACTGTTATTTCCTTCCTTCAGTACTAACAACCAGAGTATGGTAAATTAGTGTGAAAATATATACCATCAACATTGGTTTCTGAACATTGATGGCGCTGATGATTTGTACATGAATGGAAAGTACTTTCCACATGAAAAAAGGATTGCTATCTCTCTGCAAATGCTGTACACAGGACTTTATCATCTATTTTGTTTAAACAGAAGTGATGGAGAACACGGTGTTTGCTTGTAGTCTGCTCACCAGATGGCCTCGCTCCTCAAGTTCCCCCATTAACTAGCTGATTTGGGAAATCAGAATCTGCACACTTCTAATTTATTTCTGATTTCTTAAGTGTGGATTCTAGAAAATCCCCAGATAAAAAATTTCAGTTCTCATTTTTGTTATCCTTAGTTCTTTAAAAGGCAGATATTCTGTATAGAGGATATCTACAATTTTGATCTATTCTTGTAGCCAAGGGAAAAAAAAGTTAACTTTTTGGTTTTGTTTTCAGATTTTTGCCTGAACTGAAAACTCATTGACATGTTGAGGATCATCAAGGTGCCTCAAGGCAGAGCCTTCCCATTCAGCAACCCTCCAAATGGGGTCAAAATCCTCTTTTTCATCCAGATCAATACAGAAATGATATATCTTCGAGTGGTTGTATTAATAGAGAGTTAGCAGCCTGTCCCCAAGGCAGTCACACTGTCTGGAATAGATTTTAGGAGTCTGTTTAGCCATAATCTGGAGATGTTTTCTTTATTCTATGTCAAGTTAGGCAGAAGTTAGAAACAAAAGCAAAGTACATTAATAAATATAACTGTTCACGATTACAAATTCCATACACAAGGATAGAGAAAGAAGAGAAAAGAAAGAAAAATACACATTTATACCACCCATGATGCTGTCTAAAAAAGAGAGAAAAGATTAAATCAGAAATATATTTCAAACACATACTTAAACCACAAGAGTTACTAGTTTAGAGTGGGTGACCAACATTGTGCATTTAAAACAAATCTGTTTTCCATCGACTTTACACTTACACCTATAAGTTTTACCTTGTTTATAAGATGCCAAAACCATATTCTCATCTTCAACTTCAAAAACTGTGTCCACATCTATTTGCCTTTGGATTAAAATGGCCTTCAGTTTTCCGAAGTCATTTGACTTTAGAGCCTCCAGGAAATTTCTTTTAACTAACTTGGCAGCTGCAGATTTAGTGACAGGGGTGCTGCTGCCTTCCATCCTTCCTCTCCCTCTGGAAGCTTTGTTGTGATTTATCAGGAGAGCAGCACCAAGCAAACAGGCACACGCGAGAGCCCACAAACTGTCGGCTAATTTTATCCCAAAGTTATGCTGATCCGTTCTATTTATATAGGGATCATTTCAAACTTCAAAATATCCTTCTTGGCTGTCACTCCCTTTTCAGGTCTTTTAAACTGGTTCTATACTAACTGATTCATTGAATAATATATCGTGTCAATATCAAGGAAAACCCTCACCACGTATTTCGGAGAACAAAACGTCAGTTTTATTTCTTACATGAGATCAAAGCAGGTGTAAGATTTAAAAGCTCTTAATGCTTTTTTTCCCCCCTCAGTAAAAACATATGGTGCCCAACTGGAGATCCAGCCACTTGCTTTGATTAACCAATAGGCAAAAATGAAAATTTGTTACTGTTGCTGGTATAGGCACTCCTGCAAACCTATAATAATTGTGTAACATAAGCCTGCAAAACCAAGCACAGTTGTACACATTTGAAAACAAACAGAAGGCTTTCAAGTGACGTCGACTTGAAAAGTTTCAATGTCATGAGAGAAAGTGAGCTAGGGTATGTGGGAGGGCTGTTCTAGGTAAAAAAAGACAAGAAACGAAACAGCCAAGTGCAATGAGCGAATGAACTTCATTTAATGCTATATTTAAAAAACAGAACGGAGTATATATTGGAGGCACTTGTGGAAATATGAATACAGATTAGATATTACTTCATAATATGGAAGTACTCTTGATGTTTCAAGGCGTGGTGGAGGTATTGTGGTTATGTAGAAACATATTCTTACTCTTAAGTGATGCATTAAGGGGTAAATTGTCATGATGTCTAAATCTTCTTTTCAAATAGTCCAGAAATGAAACTAATGTATGTAAATAATATGTGTGTGCATATATACACACACGTGTTGTGCCTATGTTAAGTGTGTGTGTGTGTGTGGGGGGTGTGATTAGAGGCAGAGAAAAAAAGAAAATGTAGCAAAAAGTTGAAAGTTGACAAATATAATGAAGGATCTAAGGGTGTCTGTTATATTATTTTTTCAGCTTTTCTTGTTTTTAAAATTTGTTTATTTTGAGAAAGAGAGAGAGAGAAAGTATGAGTTGGGGAGGAGCAGAGAGAGAGAGAGAATCCCAGGCAGGCTCTGTGCTGTTAGCATGGAGCCTAACGTGGGGCTGAGATCACGACCTGAACCAAAATCAAGAGTCAGAGACTTAAACTGACTGAGCCATCCAGGTAGGTACCTCTCAGATTTTCTACAAGTTTGAAAATTTTCCAAATAAAAAGTTAGACAGAGAAATAATCAAATTTTAAATTTATAAATCATTGAACATTAGAAAAATGTTAACAGTATCAATTTGAATGCAGTGAAATCACATCGTATATATTGTTGGTAAGAGTCAAAACTGGTGCAAACTTTTTGCAGAATAATTAGCAACATGAATTTAAGAAAACTTAAAATGATAATTCTAAGCATTGGGTTCTTAGAATTTACTTAAGGATTTAAACATGGAGGCATACTATACAATAATCTTTTAATTTATTTTATTGATGTGTTATATAAATACAAGAAAGTGGAAAGGGACAAGTCATAAGCATACAGCTTGTTACATTTTTACAAAGTGAACACCCCTCATGTAACGGATGCCTAGAGTCAAACCATAGATTAATCCAAGTGCACTTGAAACAAATTTTACATCTTCTTTCACCCAAAACACTCACCTGAGCCCCAGTGACAACCATTATCTTGACTTCTAATCTGGTAGATTCATTTTGCTTGTTTTTTAATGTTTAAATGTTTTGTTAATATTCTTAATTTTTAAATCTTCAACCATAACATAGTACAAAATATTTCACCTGAAAAGGATGGATAAATGAATATAAATGTATGTGTAGATAATTACATTGTTACTAGTAAAAATTTTTTTGGAAGAAATCTAAATGACCAATGGTAGAAATTTGATAAACGAATTATGACATATTCATGTAATGGAATACCCTTCAGTCATTATGATTAGGTAGATATATATTTATTAAAAATGTCTGAGATAAACAATTTATAAAATAGTATATGTAGTATAAATATCTTTAAACATATCTATGTTTATATAATGTACAAATATGTACTCTTATATACTTATATAGTTTGTATATATTTATATAATATACAAATGTATAAATACACATACTATATGCATACATAGAAAAGTCTATAAGCATCTATTTCCAAATATCATTTCCTAGTGGTAAAATTACATTTGATTTCTTTTGATCTCTCTCTTGTTTTCAGAATTCATCTACAATAAACATGTATCACATTCATGATAAAAATGTATTTCTGTATATGTATATAGGTAACATATTAATAAGGATAACTGGTTAACTCAGAATTTAACTTCGGAAATGTAGGTTCCATGAATACTGAATTATTCCTATGTCCTCAGTGCTTATTAGTATGAATGAATAAATGAATAGCAGGTGAATAAAGAATTATCAACTGATTATTTACAAGGTCCTTAGCCGTGTGCTATGTGGCAAATAAAATACAACCATTTCTTTTACATCCACAGGGGCAACTCAGGCAGAAGTGTAGCATTTATTGATATGTTTTGTCCCTTTTTGGCAAAGCAAAAATAAACAAACAAACAAACATTCCTGATAGAGGAAACAAAGCAATCAAGGAGCTGTGTGCTTTTGGAGGATAAGTATTGCTGGAAAAGTCCACCAAAATGGAATCTATGTAAAATGAAGACCAAATTTCACAACGGGGGGGAGAGGGGGGTAAACTCATTTTAAATTCATCTTAAAAAATAAAAGCACAAATTATGAGAAACATTTTTTTTCACCTAATATTTAACAAAACTTAAGTGGACAGAAGCTATGTATAAGTTGTAAGACCAAAAATAAATTGTCTTCTATTTTTTGGGTAAGATAATTTTTCTGATCAATTTCATAACAACATGAAGCAATATCCTTTATCTTTTGAGTGCCTTTTGTCAAGCCAATATAAAAAGGATCATATTTACAAAAAGTGTTCAAGGGCTCCATCAGTTTTGCCAGGGGCCTGTCTTTATCGTTTGATATTCCAATGACTTTCAAACACAGTGGCTGGAATTCCACTGAAACACTTATCAAATCCTTATATTTTCAAACTTTTCTTATTCAGATATTAAGGTAATATCTTATTCAGATAAGGTAAAAGGTTTTATATGTCACTTGGGCAGTTCTCTTACATTTTCATCAATTTCACGAAGTCTTACCTCATTTACAAAATTTGCAACTTCATTTTGCAACAGACATCAGATAATGAGAGAGATATGGACTCAGTAGTCAAGGATATGTTCTCAGATTTGAGTCTGCCACCTTATGACCCTAGGGACTGAGATAACTGACAATCAGTTGATCGGCCTCATAATTTTTAACAGTAATAAAATTTTAATCTAACCCTACATTCCAAATTATACAGTTTTCTGCTTTCAAGAATATACAATGAGTTAAGGGGAAAGGGAGGCCAATACCAGTGAATACTGAAAGAAAAATACAAGCTAAAATATAATTCTCACATCCTGATTCACAAAGCTATCCATTCCGTTACTGGAAAACTAAAGTCGGTATTTTTGTTACATTGAGCCCAAATTGCCTATCCATAATTTTTTTTTAATCAGGTCTAGTTACGAACATGCAATCATACATTTATTCCATTTTCATCTTTGATGAATGTCTAACATTTGAAAATAGTATCCTATCCCTCATCAATCATCTGTTTCCTCAATCAGCATCAACTATTCCTTCTTTGGGGTGGTTTTCAGAAGTTTATTGTACCTGCTCTCTTCTGGGTCCTCTCTAGTTTATTGCTGAATGTCCTTCTTAAATTGGGTGCCTAAAATGGAACATAATCTGCCTAGAGGGAGCTGAAAACTAGAGAGTATGGTGGCGGTCACAGGGGGACTCTTTGCTTTTGTTGAAATTGTATTGTGATTCCTTAAGGATACTTTGTAAGTCTGCCTCATGTTATAGTTGTAATTTCTTCCACAGATATTTATTGAGCGCCTGCCATGTGCCGGACACTTATTCTGAGCACTGGAGATACAGCAGTGAGCAAAAGAGATAAAAGTCCGTGCCTTATAGGATTTAACATTGCTAATGGACTGAAGTGAAATGGAAGTTCCCAAACCTTTCCAATCTCCTCTACACCAGAATTTGTCACAAAGCTGCAAATTCACCAAATTTCACAGAGAAACAAGGTGGTTTGTTTATATTCAATTAGTTAATCCGATCCTCCCTTTATGGGTTTTTCACTTTAGTGACAAAGGGAAGGACAACTTAATTTTAGTCCAGCTTAATATGTTTAGTGCAGTTCAAATTTTTAGTAGTCTCTTTAGGTAAATGCCCATTTGCTATGGATTAAATTCTCTATTTTTGAGAGTTCTAAATTTCCTCTAAGATGGTTTCTGAAAATATGGGTTATATTAATAAGAACATTATTCAAAATACCAATATTTAACAACCAATATCAGTTAGGTGACGCTTTGATCATAAATAATCAACATGGCCAGACTGGTGTGTACCAGATGAATATCAGTCAGAAGTAGGAGTGTAACTTATATGATCTCATGGGAGGAGGAGGAGTCCTCACATGAACTCATTGTCCTGAAAGCCCTCCTTGATTTCCGTGGCAGAGTGGCAGGGTGCTTCCTCTATATTGTTCCTGACTGTGTTCAGATTTCTGGCCCCCACCATTGGAGCACACAATCCTGGCCATTGTCTCCAAACGTGATATCTTCGAACACAGCAGCCTTTTGGCTGTGTTATTGCAATGTATGCAGAGGAAAGTCCTCTCTTCAGGCACTCTGCCACTCCCTCACACTTCATGAGGAATTAGCAGCTTTGTATAGCCTTTTTCTTATCATATTTTTAGGGCCAGAATAGACATGGACCTTAGCTGAGGGCTGGAGTTCTCCAAGAAGTCTACATGCTT